GAACCTAAGAATGTGAAACAGATAAAATCTTTCCTAGGATTATCAGGATATTATAGGAAGTTCATTGAAAATTACAGTTCAATAGCTAGGCCTATAACGAATTTATTAAAGAAAGATGTAAAATTTGATTGGAATGAGGAATGTGATAAAGCTTTTGGAAAGTTAAAGCATGCTTTATGTACTGAGCCCGTATTGCAATACCCAGATTTCACGAAAGAGTTTATATTAACAACAGATGCTAGTGGGAAAGCGTTAGGAGCCATACTATCTCAAGGGGAAATAGGAAAGGATTCACCCATAGCTTACGCTTCAAGAACTTTGAGTCCCAGCGAAAATAACTATTCCACAACGGAGTTAGAATGTTTAGCCATTGTTTATGGAATTAAGCAATTTAGACCTTATCTATATGGAAGGAAATTTACAATCTTAAGTGACCATTAGCTTGGCAAAAACAAACTGTGTACTTTAATTAGATATGCAAAAAATGAGTACTATAGAAAAAAAATTAGGGATAGTAATAATACTAAAAATGTATGGAAAGTAATTAACGAGATAACTAACAGAAATGTTAAAAATAAAAAATCAATTACACAAATAATTCATGAAAATGATTTGTTAGATATCAATATAGATACACACAAATGTGCCAATATATTTAATAATTATTTTATAACTGTAGGAGAAAAAATAGCAAATCAAATTCAGAATGACAGTACAATGAAAAAAGAAGTAGGAAATTTAAAAAACCAAAAAAAATAATAATGAAAATATAACAGAAAATAGTTTAAAATATACCAAATTTACGCATGATGAGTTATCGCTAATAATGAATACACTAAAACAAGGTACATCACCGGGATTTGATTCCATCTCGTCAAACTTACTATTACAAATTTCAAACTATGTTGTAAAGCCGCTTACTCATTTAATTAATTTAAATTTTGAAAAAGGTATATTCCTAAATATATATAAAAAAGCTGTTATATGCCCTATATATAAAGCAGGTGATGAAAGAGAATTACATAATTATAGACCAATTTCTTTAATTTCTTCCATAGCTAAAGTTATTGAAAAATGTGCTAAGATACAACTTAATCGGTCCACCTTTAATAACAAAACTATAAGTGATAAACAATTTGGATTTAGGGACAATATAGGTTGCCTAGAAGCGATTTCTTATTTTTTGAAGTTAATTAAATGGAAAAAATGAAAAAAAAAAACGATTGGCGGTGTCAAAATAAATCTATTTTGAGTTTAAAACTTAGTTTTAATACTTTTAAAAAGTGTTAACAAGCCAAATGTGGTATTGCCAGCAATACCACATTTTGAATTAAACACCGGCAATATTGCGTTTTGCCCACTATCACTAACGTTCAGTACAAAACGTAATTTTATTATTCAGTTTGAAAAAGAAAATGTATTTAGTTCAAATAAGTTTTATTAAACATAGAACAATGCAATAGGTAAATTAATTAAAAACATAGTATAAAACGTAGTACCTATTACGTTTATTTTCGTCACTGCATTATAATCTGAATCAGTGAAAACCAGTTTTCTTCTTACTTCTTTCTAAAATATTAAATACATATTAATAAATTATAGTTAAATTAAATGTAATATACAATAATATGGACATCTTATGAGTATACAATAGTACATTACATATTAGCTACTTAATCAATTAAATAACTAAAAAATATATCATGAATAAATAATAAATTAGTATTTTAAATTATTTACCTTTTTTGTAATCTTAACTTCAGAATTATTGCTTGACTTTGATTGCTTAAACAAAAATAATATTTGGTATAGTATAATAGTAGGTATACTATTGTGCATTATAAAAATCTTGTTGTTCTAATAAAATTTAGGTATTATTAAATTGTACTGGTATACAAAAATAAACATAAATGGCAGAATGTTTAATCTCTGAGATAATGATGTACCTAGGTAGGTAGGTATAACAAAAATAGTAAGATGCCATATTAATATATTATAAGTTATAATATAGCATCTTACTATGTTTGTTTATTAAATCATATAAATAAATTAGCTATATTAATGGTAGTAGGAAACATTCAATTAATGTTTATAATAACAAAACAATTTGTAATTCAATTTGTTCGCTCTTTTAAATGAGATAATCATACAAGAGAACATAAATACTTTTGTAGTAGTTAATAAAATATTTTATGTAGGTACTTACTTCTTGAGCAGCTTTTAAAATATCCCTTGTTCTCCTCATTTTGTTATAATATAGTTTTAGAAAATATACAGATACAGAAAATAAATTATTTAATAGTATACCTATTATAGATTTATACAATTTGGCACTTGCACAATTTATTATTTTAATCCATTTATAATAATATTATACATGAGACTGATAACACATAACCACGTTATCTTTATCAACAATATGAATTAATGCCTATATTCTATTTTTATAAAGTTGAATTATCATGAAAACAAAAATATTCTGATAAATCATTATGTTAAATATAATAAACATTTAAACACTGAAAACTAAAATAAAAAATGACTGTAATGGGTAAATTATTATAGAATGGCCAGTGGCGGCTCGTGAGGTTCACGTAAAGTGGTGCACAAAAAATGTATAAGATATCTATGTTAGATGGTAAAAAAATGTATTTTGGTATAGGTACCTACATACCACGAATAATACCAAAATAATGTACCTACTTATCTTATCTAAATTAAATTTTTTTAAGCATTTTACCCCATTAAAATATAAATTAAATTATAAAAAATTATCAACTACTTATTATGTATGAATATAAACACAAATACACAATATCGTTGTAATTATAATTTATTATTAGAGGCTAGAGCTATACAATTACAACAAATTACAATTATTATTATATGAAATTAATCAGTTACATTTTTAAAAAGTAAATCTATACGTCTGTCTTTTTTTTGTATAAACACTTCAATAACTTCTTCGTTAAAATTAGACATTTCATTTATTTATTTTATTTATAAAAAGTCTATGGATATTATAGTAGTTATTATAGTTGATTTGACTGCTGCAGTGCTGCACACTGGCGGCAGTTGATGGATACTGTAGAATGATGCGTTATCGTTTCGACGAATGACACGATATCGCGATAGCGCGACAATAAAATAGGATCGGTGCACACATTAAATGTGCTCCAAATTGCCATGTATTACCGGTCGGCGTGTCGAGGCATGTAGCTAATTTTTATACGGCCGCCCGGAGCACAAACAACTTGTGCTCCGCGATATTATTTAATCGTTTATAAATATATTTCTTAACATAAAAGCTACAAAAACTTGTTTTTATTAATATAAATATTTATATTTTTTTTAATTACAGACCATTTGCATAATCATCAATTATATTATGTTATTATGGCATATAATAATTTTTTAATATAATTTTTTGGGTGGTTCACGTGCTCCTGTGCACCATACCATGAGCCGCCACTGATCGTACCTATAATACCTAGGGAGCTACCCATACATTTTTCGTCTCCGTCTTACACGTCATGTATGACATGGCAAGTTTTCGTTCACTAAAGTATTTGAAATAATAAGTGACAAAGTAGGTACCTACCTGTATGTCTCTTAGATGTATCTATGTATCCATTATTAATTTTTGTATTTATTAATTATTTACTGTTACCTATATAAGTTATGGATTGTGGCTGTGTTCTCTGAGACCCGTGACTACAGTGTTATTCCTTGTAACTGGCTGACCGAACCCATTAAGAGGATGTCACAGTAGACAAAATATGACATAAAAACATGGTTTCGTACTTCCAGGAATACGGCTTATTGAAGCGTTTTACGGTATAAATACCTATTACAAAAATTGTAGAGGAGAATTTTTTCTAGAAACGTAAGAAGTCCGATTTTCGATATTTTTATTAATTAGTTAAATAATTAATTGATAAAAAATAATCATCAATTATATTATGTTATTATGGCATATAATAATTTTTTAATATAATTTTTTTGGGTGGTTCACGTGCTCCTGTGCACCATACCACGAGCCGCCACTGAGAATGGCAATACAACGTTTTGTTTTAATATAGAATGTAGTCCTATAGAAAAAACAAGGGATATACTGCGTTTTGGTTTGAACATTGCAATACCACGTTTTGACTTGATACAAATAGAGGCAATAACACGTTTTGAATTGAATGACGATTTTGAAATCATATATATAATCGATTTAGAACGATTTTTGCACCGGATTTGAATGTTTATCTCGATTTTCGAAATTTTGGCAATACAACGTTTTGGATTTTCGCCCTTCAATTCCAGTATGTAGGTATAACTCGGAATAGGAGGCAATTCACAACGTTCACTGAGACACAATTATTAAGCTGTACCGAAACAGAAATTTTCAACATATGTCCAGAATATCAGCCAATACAGCATGAGTCGGCAAGACAACCGTGTGAAATCTCATTATTCAAAAATCCGGAAATATTACCCAATAATTATGAAGCAGGAATCATAGTAATATCGAAAAACATTTACCATAAATTTAAATACGCAAATACATGGATTTATTCCACTACTAGTGACACATTGACAGTAACGTGTCAAGCGGAACAGGAACCACATATAGTAAAATTGCGAAATCAGGGTTTGATAAATTTAGCACAGGAATGTCGAGCATATGCTAGCGAAATAGTCTTGAACCCTACCAGGGAAATTAATTCCAAGAATTACGTCAACTTTATACCTAAATTAGGAAAGGGAGTTTAGCTTTAAAAATTCCTAAACTAAATTCATTGGCTATACCAAAATACACCCAAAGACATGATTTATTAAAACTGGATAACGTTCATGAATTAGCTCATTCTTTGAATGATATACAATCAATGGTAGATAAAGAAATGGATAGGCAAAACGGGAATGCAGACCAAACTAAACCTATTTTAATCTATGTTTTATTAGGCGTATTGTTATTTTCTTTGATATTGATTTTATTATTGTACGTAATGTACGTGTACACTAAAAACTTAAGAGGTACACGCTCTATGAGAGTAAGACCTGTTGAGGAACCAGTAAGTAAAAGTAAGTTTTACAGACAGACGATTTACGAACCAATGAATAAAGGTAGTACGCCATACGACATGCAAGGACCAATAGTACAACGTAAGTCGTATGAGGGAAATGATAAAAACATACAAGAAACCTCATTTTCAGATACTGTTGACAGGAATATAAGTACTAATTCCACTAACTTACCAGCAATAATAGATAGATAACTAATAACGTAACTAAATTGTAATCTATTAATAGTAAATGTATAATTAATGTAGATATTCATATTTTTATGAATACATAATTTGAGAATACCCACAAGTTCGTAATAATGGATTTTGAATTCACCAATATCCATAAAACCAGTAAGGTCCTCATATCAGGAGCTATTTCAAATAGCTTGGACCGTTTTAAAATAAGGAAGCTAGAAGGACAACCATTATACTTACCAGAAGACTGGGAAGTACGACCAATGAAGGACCGTGAGGAAGGTATTAGTTGCACAGAGAGCGTTGGCTCGAATTTTTAGATCTACATGAGTTAATAATCTCCACAAACCTTGAGTTCCTTTATATCTTTTTCCATTTAAAATTATATCATCATTATCAAAATTGATTATATCTTTTCCAATCATATGAATATCATTTTTAAAAACATAATATATTCCAAAAAAATTAGTATCTTTTACAGATAGTAAATATCTTGACGCAATAGGACCTAAGTATATAACATTTTTAGGTAATGGAGAATTACTTGTTGGTTTTTGACTAGGGGTCAAGGGGTTGGTTTTGGAGTTCCAGAAGTCTCTTCTGAACTGATTAATCGTTTTAATTCTGTGTTTCTTGGTTGATAATAATATAGTATAATTAATTTTTGAATATCTCCTTCAGTTTTAATTGCAACATCTTTAACTTCATTCATTGTTGTCCCATGGTATTGTCTAGTTAGATGGTTGTCTGTCAATAACATTTTAACTACATTTTTTCAATTAATAGAACCAATCAAAGTATTTTTAATAGAAAAAAATAAAAGTTTTCCTCAACTTTCAAATTCAAATTTTCGATAATTTTTTTAGAATTCACGTTAAATCATATGTCGATTTCTCAATTTTTTGAAAATTGTTTGTGTTTTTCTTTAAAAAGTTAAACAGTTATTCAAAAATCAACTCCCACAATAACCTAGAAAAAAAAAACGATGAATTCAAATATGTTTACAGAACTAAAATCCGATCATTCTAAGTTATCGTATTTTTGTCAGGCTTTTAGGTCTCAATTGATTGAAATTAGTTTCTCGTTGGAACAAATATTTTATATTTGACATGTGCATGCGCGTGCGAACCACTGATTCCGAACGTATCTACGCACACTAATGATCATTTACTTCGCATACAAACACACTGCGAAACGACTATAAGACATCGAATTGCCTATACACGACCCCTTATTAAATCACCTCTTCGAACCCCCTTAAATGTATCTCTTCAATGTCAAAATAAATGAGTTAATGACCTAGGCAAAAAGTATTTAGTTTTCAAAATAAACTAAAACTTTTTATAAGAGATTTATAATCAAACAATTTTACTCACTTTTCATGTTTAAAAAAAAAATAGAAGCGTGCTGGATAGAATCAGAAATAAAAATTAAGAGGACGCTACACCCGCATGTGTTGTCTCCGTCTTACACACGTACGACATAGACAAAACGCGTTTAGGCAGTCTGAGTATAACTCGCTCAATTTTGGTTCTAGAGTAAAAAATACCTATTATGAAATTGAATTGTGATAATATTTCTAAGGGCAAGACGCTGCGGTTTTTTTAAAAAATTTAATTTTTTAAAAGTCAAGGGTATTTTAAAAATGGTGAAATTTTTTCTATTTCTAAACGATATAATGAACGTTATATTGGGTATAATGGAAAAACCGCAGCGTCTTGCCCTTAAATATTATCACAATTCAATTTCATAATAGGCATTTTTACTCTAGAACCAAAATTGAGCAAGTTATACTCAGACTGCCTAAACGCGTTTTGTCTATGTCGTACGTGTGTATGACGAAGACAACACATGCGGGTGTAGCGTCCTCTTAATTGTGACGACTATATTGTTATGAATTGGTATTATTCAACATAGGAAGTAAGTAAGGATGTAGCAGTTAATAAACAAATTAGAAATGTAGTATTTATAAAACATTTAGAATTACGAAATGAAATGATTATTGTAAATTAGTGTAAACGGGTACAATCCCGAAACTGCGAGTAAGCACTTTTTATATAGGAGGGATTGTCCTACATAAGTTTAGATATAAGGAACATTAAGATGGTAAGAGGATTAGTTGAGAATGGACAGTGCCATTGCCTGTATATGTTCAACTCAATAAATTTTATAACTGAATAGACGTGTGTTTGTTACTTTATTTAATAAATATATATTCAAACTCTACAAGTACGAGGCTACAGTCAACCGACTTGTAACATTGGTGGCAGCGGATCAAAAGAACCATTAATTCGAACGAGACGCATCTTTCAATCAGGGTGAGTTAAATTGTTTTTGAACCAGTCAAGGTACATACTTCCAGTCAACTACAGATCATTCCACTCAACTACAGAGCATTCCATTCAACGACAGAGCATTCCAGTTAATTACAGAGCATTCCATTCAACTACAGAGCATTCCAGGCAATTACTGAGCATTCCATTCAACTACAGAGCATTCCAGTCAATTACAGATCATTCCAGTCAAATTCGAAGCATTCCAAACAAATTCAGCATTCAACGGTGCCAAAGACAGTAGAGGAACAACTTCAATAATGTTAAATTTATTGGTATTGTAAGTTGGTTTTTATATATATTTTAAGCATATCTATAAGTTTCTATCCATATTTTTCTATTTATATTTAATTGATGAGTGACGAAAGTGCTAGTATTAATAACTCAACACAGAACGATAGTAAAGACGAAACATTTATTCCAGATAGGTCATTTGATTCTGATGATAGTAGGCAAGCGACATCTAGTAGGCATAGCGATAGTAACCAAGTAGAAAATACAGTAGAAAATACAGTGCAAAATCAGAGTACTTTGTTAGGACTTCAAAATCCTGATACTAGTAGGAATACATTACATTTGCCAATACAACGTAGACGGTTAGGAGTACCAGCAGAATTAAGTTCAAACATCGTTAAGGAAGATATTTCTTTTGACAGTAGTACTCAGTCGTACAGTTTTGTGCCGAATTTGGATCAAACATATTATACAGAATTAGTAGATATGAGTCTAATTACTTCTTTAGAGGCAGCATTTCGAATTTTACCAAAGTTTCACAAGCAAGACTCTGAAGGCTTACATAATTTTATAAAGTCATCAGAATTTGCTTTTTCGTGAATTAGTGAAGACATAAAGCCCCAGATTGTAGGAGCAATAATAGCAAATTTGACAGCAAAATCAGCTCAGGTTGTTCGATTTAAAAATATAGATACATGGGAAGAATTGAAAACAACTTAAAAAATTGTTTTGAACCACAACATACTTCCACACATTTGTTGTTGGAATTTACCACAACCCGTCAGAAATATAATGAGGAAATTAGTACGTTTTACAATCGGTTAGAAAAACTATTTCATTTAACGTTAAATGTTCAAACCAAAGATAAAATTACAGCTGTGGCAGAAGTCATAGAGGGAATTTTAAAAACACAAACATTGAGTATTTTTATTGAGGGACTAAGGCAACCTATAAAAATGTTAGTAAAGGCAAGTCATCTGAGTACAATTGAGGAAGCATTTGCGGTGGCTCAACAGGAGGAAACGTCATACAAATCAGATAAGAAAACACAATCAAAAATTCCGAAACAAGAAGCAGCAAGAATTACGTGTTTTAACTGTGGTAAAGTAGGTCACATGGCCAAGGTATGTAGATCAAGATTAAATCATCAGTTTATAAAACAGTCTCAAGAGAATCAAAAGAACTGGGTTACAAATACGGGCCAAAATTCGAAACCAAACAACGGGTCAGCAAATATTCATCGGCAAGCGGCAGAAAGTAATAGTGCTTATAATAACAAAACAATTGTTTGTAAATATTGTTAGAAACTAGGTCATCAAATTGGTATGTGCAGAAAATTAAAATATAACAATGAAAAAAGAGCTGGTCAAGCGAATTCAAGTTCAATGACAGAACCATCAACTTCGGGAAACGAAACAGGGTCGATTCAGAACGGCGAACGATCGGTCCAGGAAATCAAAGCAACAGCCGTAACATTTCTAGAACATTCAAATTAAAAGCTCAACTTTTTAAAGATCACATTATTTGTCAAGCTACAGAATTTATTAATCGGAAATCAAAATTTTTACTTGACACAGGTAGTGAAGTAAATATAATAAAGTTATTATCATTAAAAGACGACGTCAAAGTTAACGAAAGAATTTTATATCGATTAAAAGGGATTAATGAGTATTTTGTGAACACGATTGGGTCGGTAAATATAACAGTAAATTTTGGGGAAGAAAAAAGACAAGTAAGGTTTCAAGTAGTTAGTAATAATTTTCCAATACCTCATGATGGAATTTTAGGCAAAGAATTTTTAGAAGACAACAAGATAGCAATTGATTATGCAAAAAATGAAATAACGTCGACACTTACTGAAGACAATTTTACAGTAGTAAATCAAGACAGTCCGCATGTAGATAATTTGAACATTGCAGTAGTACCACCGAGATCAGAAATGATAATTTCAGTAAAAATTACAGACAGTCAAATAAAGGAAAAAGATACAGTGATTATTTATTCACAAGTATTGCAAAATCGAGTACAATGTGGTAATGCAGTAACTACAGTAAGGAATCGGCAAGTGCTAACGAAAATTGTCAATCAAACCGAGAATTCTATTGATTTACAGCCAGTAGATTTGGGTAATTTATTGTACGAGAAATTTGAAGAGGCAAAAATACAAGTGTGTACTAAATTTACAGAAGGTCCAGATAATGAAAATCGGGTACAATTATTGGAGAAGTCGTTAAGACTGCAGCATCTCAACAATTAGGAATACCAATCATTAAAAAATATTTTTATTGAATTTTCCGATGTTTTTTTATTAGAAGGTGACAGATTAGATGGAACATCAGCAATACAGCATCGAATTAGAACAGCACCCGATATTCAACCAATTTATATTAAACCATATAGGTTACCACAAAATCACAAAAAAGAGATATCAAGGTAGATCAAATGGAAAAAGATGGAATCATTACAAAAAGTACTTCACCTTGGAACGCCTCGTTAATAGTAATACCAAAGAAGGTGGATTGTTCAGGGAAACAAAAATTTCGTATCTGTGTGGATTTCAGGAAATTAAATAATATTACGATCGGAGATGTGTTTCCGATTCCAAATATAAATGATATTTTAGATCAACTAGGCAATTCTAAATACTATACGACCTTGGATTTAGCGAGCGGATACCACCAAGTGTCAGTACATGAAGATGATAGAGCTAAGATATCATTTTCAACAGATAAAGGACATTATGAATTTCTTAAGATGCCTTTCGGATTAAAAGGAGCGCCGAGTACTTTCCAAAGAGTAATTAACACAGTGTTATTAGGAATAAATGGAGTAAAAGCATTCGTATATATAGATGATGTAATTGTATATGCTCATAATTTGAAAGATCATAGTGAAAAGTTAAAGGAAATTTTCCAAAGGTTTAGGGATTATAATTTGAAAGTACAACCTATGAAATGTGAATTTTTGCGTCGTGAAGTTATATATTTAGGTCATATTATCACGGAACAAGGGTTGAAACCAGATCCATCAAAAATTTTGAGTGTAAAAAATTTTCCAGAACCAAAAAACCAAAAACAATTAAAAAGTTTTTTAGGACTATCAGGTTATTACCGTAGATTTATAAAAAATTATGGTAAAATCGCAAAACCGTTAACCTCATTATTGAAAAATGATATACCATATGATTGAACAAATCTGTGTCAACAGGCCTTTGAAACATTAAAAGATGTGTTAGTGAGTGAACCGATTCTTAGTTATCCAAATTTCGATAAACCATTTAATGTAACATGCTATGCGAGTAACTTTGCAATTGGATCAGTTCTTTCACAGGGTACGATAGGGGAAGATTTACCAATCGTATATTCATCAAGGATACTGAATAAAGCTGAACAAAATTATGGTACAACAGAAAAAGAGTTATTAGCTATTGTATGGAGTTTAAAACAGTTAAGACCGTATTTACTGGGAAGAAAATTCTATATATTAACAGATCATCAGCCTCTCAGGTGGTTGGTTAATCACAAAAATCCAGGATCAAGAATGATGCATTGGAGACTAGCAATAGAAGAATATGAGTATGAAATTATTTATAAGCCAGGTTTATTAAATACTAATGCCGACGCCCTCAGTAGAATACCACAAATTATGCAAATTGAAGAGGAACAAGTGGTAAGCAGTAAAACATATAATGAGTATATGGATTATATTAAGACAAATATAGTCCAAAACGTGAATATTGTAGAAATAGCTGGTAATATTTTTGAAGACGAACATTCACATCTCGTACATTATGTATCACAGGAATTGACATTAAAAGAAGGATTGGCACTGGAATTCCGACGACGATTCGGGAATCTGGAAAGTAATCAGAATAAAAAAATTACAGATTTATTGTATTTCAAAGAAGGTAACCGTTACATAATATATATGATTTTTTGGTCAGAGAAAGAGAAAAGTCAAATTACTTATGAAAATGTGTATAATTGTCTACAGAATTTAAAAACATTTTGTTTAAACAATCAAATTACAGATTTATCAGTATCAAAAACAGGTGATCATATTTTTCAGCTCGATTGGGCAACAGTAAGAATAAAGATGATTTAACAAAATTTAGCATTGCAACGCCTATGGTATGCCATGAAGCTAATACTTTAGCGCATAGTTTTGTGAACTCATTTGTTTGTATACATGGAATTCCAGAATCAATAGTATCGGACCAAGGTACAGAGTTTCTAAGTAAAATTTTTTCAGAAGTATGTATATTATTAAAAATTTCCAAGTTCAACACAACACCATATAGACCACAGAGTAATGGAGCATTAGAGCGAAGCCATTCAACATTAGGGAATTATTTGCGACATTATGTCAACAAAGATTTAGCAAATTGGGATGAATTTATTCCATATGCAATGTATGTATATAATACAACAGAGCATGAAACGACAAAATTCCAACCGTATGAACTACTTTATGGATTTCCAGGGAAAATACCTACGTCATTAAAGAAGACACCAGAACCAAGGTATAATTATGAAGATTATAATTATGAAATTAAGCAAAAATTTCAACAATCTTATGAAATTTCAAAACAACGTATAGTAAATTCAAAAGAAAATACAAAAGGACGATATGATAATAAAGTTAATCCACTGAGATTAAAAATAAAGGCAAAGTTTGGCTTATGGAAAAACAACAAAAAAATAAGTTAGCACAGAAATGGCTAGGACCATATGTAATAGCAGAAATAAATAGTAATGAAAATGTAATAATTGTCAGAGGACAAAAATTAGTTAAAGTACATAGAAATCTATTAAAACTATGTAATCAGTAAAATAAGTATAAATAATAAACCAGTGATATCTTGTTATTACAGAATACTAATCATACAACCAATCATGGCAACAAATTTAACAGGAAATTATCAAATACAAAAAATTGAATCACCATCAGGATTTTTTTTTATTCATTTGACGAATGTAAAAACAACAAATTCAAAATGGAAATTGTCAGTTTATGTGAATTTAACCACGTATGATGATAATTTTGACCAAATAAAGAAATTTCAAAGAGAAACGGTACAACATTGTTTAAAGATAGCAAAAAACACAGAAATAGTTCCAATAGAACACATTGTAATTTGGTCGTATTTATGCGAGCAATTTAATACAACAACGACGTCATATATCCATGATATAGAGAAAACGCGACAACAGATAAATTATTCAGTTAGTAGAAGTGAACGTTACAGAAGAGGATTGATAAACGGAATTGGTAGATTATCAAAAACATTGTTTGGAATATGTTCAGATGAAGACTATGATTTTTTTGATAAGAAAATAAACGAAATAACCGAAAAACAAATTAGGGTAATTCATGATATGCAACAACAAACGCGGATAGTACAGTCAACAGTACATGATGTGGACAAAGAAATGGTGAAAATACCACAAAGCGAAACAGCGATAATAAATAATATAAATAAGTTGCAAAAATACAGCAAACAAAGCCGATAAAAGAATAAATGAAATGGAAGTTAGACAGATAATGAATGAGCAAACTGAGGAGTTAAATGTTCTTTTAACACAACATTCATTTCAAACTCACAATCTGGTAGCAATAATTAATACTGCTCAAGTGGGTCATATGCATTCTAGCATAATTTCTGCAACAAATTTCTTAGCAGAGTTACAGCAGGTTAGAATACAACTAGATTCAAGAGAGAACTTTGCAGAGCAAGTCAAAATACAAAATATACATAAATTAATGAGAATGAGTAGCTTACAGGTGATAAGAGTAGCAGATACATAAGTATTCTTAATATCCATTCCAATCGTCCAAAACCTCTGTTAATATCGTGTATATAAAGGGATTCCACTACCTATAAAACAAAAAGATTCAGTATATGCGTTAATTCAGCCAACAAACAAATACTTAGCCATATCCGAAGATAACGTATACTCAATATACATAGATGACATGCAGTTAAACAAATGTATACACATGCAAGAGTATTATATTTGTTCGAACACTCAGACGCACTATATTCAGGAAACGGATTGTGAAGCAAAATTATTCAGTAGTCAGGATAAGGAAACGATTCCAAAAGCATGTGAAATAAAAATTACACGTATTAAAAAAATTAGTAGTACACAAATGTCACAAATTAGATAACGAGAATGTTTGGTTGTACACGACAGAGAAATCAACATTGATTGTGCAAAGGGAGAGCCAGTGTTGCAAATCTTGCAAAACACGGGTACAATTACTCTCGCGTATTCATGTCGTGCGATAACAAAAGAGTACGAGCTAACCCCCACCAGGTCAATAGTAACAAAAACGTCGTATTATCCCGATTTTCACTCTTTAGCAACAAATTCAAAACAGTTAGATTTATTATTACAATCACAAATAGATGATAGTATAGGCGAATATGTAAGCGTATCTAAAGTAACGTACGTAGCATTAGGAATAGGAATAGGTATATTAGTGTTAATAGTTGTAATAAGTAGAATAAGTTTTAAATTGTATAAACAGAATACATTTTCAATGAACTATATTAAAACATTAGTCACTACGAAATCAGTAGATGACATGCAGGGCGTAGAAATTAATAAAATGTAAAATATAAATTGTATAATTATTTAAAAATGTATAAAATATTTGTTTTTAAAGGAAAAAAAAGAAATGTCATAAGTAGATAGACTCATGATGGCCTGAGCTTTCGTTTAACAAGGGGAGTGTTATGAATTGGTATTATTAAACAAAGGAAGTAAGTAAGGATGTAGCAGTTAGTAAACAAATTAGAAATGTAGTATTTATAAAACATTTAGAATTACGAAATGAAATGATTATTGTAAATTAGTGTAAACGGGTACAATCCCGAAACTGCGAGTAAGCACTTTTTATATAGGAGGAATTGTCCTACATAAGTTTAGATATAAGGAACATTAAGATGGTAAGAGGATTAGTTGAGAATGGACAGTGCCATTGCCTGTATATGTTCAACTCAATGAACTTTATAACTGAATAGACGTGTGTTTGTTACTTTATTTAATAAATATATATTCAAACTCTACAAGTAGAGGCTACAGTCAACCGACTTGTAACAATGTACTTAAACTTGAATTTCTATTTACCGACTTCGAAGAACGACTTCGAGACCTAAATGCATTAAAACCCTCATTCGGATTTTTAGAAAATCTACTTTTATCAATAAAAAATCTTTAAAAGAAAGTCACATTAAATTTTTATGAGCGTTTGAAGTTCATATTTTTTCAACATTGGATATTCACTCGATTTCTCATGTAGCGAATTTGTTATTTTGTTGTAATTAAAAAACGAATTTCTGTAGATACATGAAAATTTGACTGAATGGTTAAATTCTCATTTATATACACCATAAAATTTCGAAAATATTTTGACTCTTTTTGAGCTGTTTACGGACATTGTCAATTTCCAATTTGTTTAGGTTTTTTTTATGAATGTTAATAAAATTTTAATTGTTGGGCTGAATAGCGTGAAAATTTAATACAAGCCTCCTGATATAAAGTTACAATAGCAGTTAAAAATATTCAAAATACAGGTATATAGGTTATATATAAATCACAATAATATCATCAAATATACTTATGCCGGTATGCATAGTCCTGATATAATGGGCAACATAATATAGCTTATGTATTACATAACAATGTAACTCATAAATTATTTATGTCATACATAAGGAACTTATGAGATGCCTAAATTGTATTCTTTCATAGTCAATATTTATGTGTTTCATTGTAATGTGAAGTTTTATGAAAATAAAAATCTTTTTTAAATATGTCGGTATGTTCACATCAGTGTTATCAGTAAACATTATACTGATAATAACAATAACAAAGTGTATAGTGTATTTTAATTTATACTCTACCCATGACAAATGTGTCATGCTCTACCTAGGTGCCAACCAATAACTATTATAAATTCTTAAATCGTTGTCTTTTCATCTTTTGGCTTTTGGTGTTAAGTGTTGACGCGTGAAAGGGACCATCGTTTATAATGTCAGATGAGAAAAAGAAACGCTTACGTGCTCCTAATATAACCGAGGAAGAGAAAGCCATTATCTTAAATTTACTAAATTCAGTAACTTAATTAAGTCACAAGTTTGAAAATCAAGAAAAGTGGAGGTTTATGAAAAAGGTGGCCGACCCCAAATAGTTGGAAGGAAAGCGAAGGCCAAGAAGAAGACTGCTTACTGGTTTTTTAATTTTTAACTAATACTAATTCCCAGTTTTGATAATTTACATGCATTTTTTTTTTAAATGAATGAATTAATTTTCTTGTTGATTTATAATTTATGATTATTTTATATGTGTCAGTAGGTACAAGCAGTGAACCAAATTTTAGTAAGTACAGAATAGTGAATTCTGATCAAAATATAAATAGTGACAACTGTTATAAAGAAACTGTTCAAAATCTCCAATCCTCTAGTCCTTATCCTCATACATCTACCGTTGAAAATGATCCTTACATAATGGTATATTTACAACTCATATTCCTATCCTAATTATATTGTAAAGTTGACCAGACATCTTAGATTAGAAAGATTTTTTGAGTTTTTTAAACTACATTTTGATTTTTGAACTTTTATAGTTTAGCACTTTTGTCCAACATTTACATTAAATAAAAGTTAATTAATTAGATTAATTTTAGTCATTATTTACTTATAAGTAATAACTAATAAAGTACTTAATACTTAAATAAAAAAAAGTTTTATTATGAATGTTACTTATCTATGAATGTTTTTAACATAATATAATTTCATTTTACATTATTTAAAATATAAATTTCAAAACTGTAGTTTGTACCTAGTTATTTTTATGAAAAATTTTCTGATTAGACTTCAATATTTCCTTAAAAATTAGTATTTCTGGTCACTTTATGATTCTATCTATTTTTCTTTTTAGTTCCTTTAACATCCAAGGTACCTAAAAGTAAAAATCTATAAAGATGATGGTAAGTGATGAAGCCAGTTTAAGAATTAAAAAACTAAAGTCAAGTTACGAAAGCGATACAACGTTGAACAAGTTACAGGTATGTTAATTGTATTAGGTACAATCGGAAGTATTTCTAGGATAGAAGTAAGTATTTGATGCATTAAAAATGTCAGCATAAATCGCTGATTTTTAAGTGTTTATAATATCAAAATTATAAATTTGTTAAAAATGAAAATAAACACTATTGAAATTATTTTTATCAACATATTGAGTAGGTATCATGTTTATAGTACTCACGTTATTCAGTATTTTTTTTTTAAGATCTAACATCAATTTATTAAAACAACACAATTATTTAATTTTTTATTTGACATGATTATTATTATAATATTTCATTTTTATTTTAATATCTAGTACTTTCAATTAATAATACAATAAATTTGGTAAATAAAGTGGTCCATTACAACTATAACACTTTTTTTTTTTTAATATATGAATGATTCAGTTAATTTTTATTTTCAGATTGATTATCAAAAAATTTTAATTGAAAGTTTGTTAGCTAAGAGGCAGGAAGAAAACGAGCTGTGCAAGTTGAAAAAAGAAGCTTTTATTAAAAAATTGAAAAATTGAAAAAATCAGAATAGAATTTTTTTTAAAGAAAAAATTTAATTAAATCGTATAACACCTATTTTAATACTATTTGTATATTTAATATTATTTAAGAAAAGTGTCTGATGATGTATCCTCTCCTAGCAGCAGCACCAATGATTTCTCCGTTGAGATTATTATCTCTAAAAGGATCGTCAAGTTTATCAACTTCTTCATTATCATTGTCATCTATATTAAGTAATCTTAATTTTAAACTTATGTTGTATAAAACAGCACAAGCTACAATAATTGAAACTGCCGTCAGTGTGGAGTTGGCTAGACCTCTCCTTAAGCAAGGAAATTTTCTTTTCCACACACCGAAAACTTGTTCTATAATATTCCTCGTTTTAATTTGTGCTTTGTTGTAGTTTTTTTCTGAATTGGTAATAGGATTTAAAAGTGGAGTGAAAAGATATGGTTTACAAGCATAACCTATAAAGTATAAACAGTAAATAGGTAAAACTGTATTGTACGTATATTCTGTATTGTACGGTCTACTGTCTACTGTATAAAAATAAAATATACCATTATCTCCTAAAAGCAGTAATGTATTATTATTGCGGGAAAAGAAAGTGCATGCACGACTTGCATTGAATATAAAACAGTCATGATAACTTCCTGGCCATCGAGCCACCACATCATATATTTCCATTTGAGGACCACAAACTACCTACATTTTTTTAGAAGACACTTATTAATTTTTGTAATCATTGTTTTTTTTTAAATTTGAGAAATTCTTTATGTTGTTACTTGAACATTTAATGAAAACCATCCTTTTCTATTTCTAAAAACTTCCCCATTTGGACCACCCGGGTTTTGTATCTTTATATGGGTACAGTCAATACAAGCACCAACTCCGGGCATTCCAGCGACATCGTAAAATTTCTGTTTCACAACATCCCACTCATTTTCTGTTTGTAGTTTCTGGCTTTAGTAGCAATTTGGGGGAAAATTCTTTTAATAATTCTGGACACAGTACTTTGATGAATCCCTCTCAGATCACCACAGACAGCCTATAATGATATATTGATACTACACAAAGTAAGAACTTTTGAAAAAAATGAGTGGAGACACATAAATGGTTCACCCGGTAGATGGGTACTTTTTTTTTAAAATACAGTTAAATGTTAATACAGTTTTTTTTAAAGCAAAACTACCTGGAAATTCGACGTAGCATAGAAACGAAGTGTAGTCAATAATTGTAGAACAGTAGGAATAGGTAATCCACGTTTATTCCAGTAATTAATATTTACTAATTGCAACAAATGTTCAAGTACAATTCTTTTTGGAAAACAGTAATGTTTAAAAAATTGGTCATCGCTATATAATTCGAATGGGTCATCGACATTACGAAGATATCTTCTTGGGATATAATTATCATCATCAACTATATCAATTTCAATATTACTCCAAATAGTTCACACAATGTAATATATCATCCATACTAACGACTAGACACGCTAATTTAAATTTTAAATACTTGGTAAAAACAAATTTAATAATATTGAAAATTGTTAAGTGGTTGGTAGGTACTTAATTGTTGTAGCATTGCGATAAGCTGAACACAAATGTATCACATAAGGTTTATGTGGTGGAAATTGACCACATAACTTTATGTGACCCTTAATAATAAAATCCTCCAATAAAAATGACTATGCAACGTGACATTGATATCAATCACATAAATAACAAATACATAAGTACTATGGTTCACATAAATTAACTGCGCATACGGGCATTAGTTATATAAATATATCATAGGTTGACTGACCGTCTTCGCTCAGAATCGTTTTTCTTATACAATGATATTATATCATTGAATTCAAATTTAATACCATTGTAATGAAAAATCGAAACGTTTTTGGTTTTGTTTTATTTTTATTGAACGTTTGTTTTCATACGTGATTATTATATAAAACTGATTAATATGTTTTTACAATATTAGTTGATAGTTATAAATTATACTCTTATGAGTGTACAGTAAAAATATTTATTTATGGAAACATTCAAAATGGGTGGGAATGTGTTTACATTGAACTTACGATTTTTGTTCGGTAGTTCCATAGACATATAGAAGAACTAGATAGCCGACTACTATCATACGACCATGTAATGTTTTGAAGTTGATGCCGCCATTTGCCTAAACGGCAATGTTTACGATTTTTTTATGATAATACTGATTGATAAAGAATTAAAGACGAAAACATCTTTGAATAATAATTAATAAATTCAATGAAGAATTTATGTTTGAACCATCGTCGGGCTTCTCTAGTTCTTGTTCTATGATGTCTATAAATATAGTATAATATATTATTAATTATACTATTTATTATTATAATGGTTTATGCTTGTGTGGTTCATGGCTGTTTAAATCGTCAGAGCAAAGCTGGCGAAGTTCAATCACCAAAAAAGCATTTTTTTTCGTAGGTTTATTAATTTCAAATACTTTTATTGTACCAGCAGTCATCTATGGACATATAGACATATTGTTCTATATGTCTATGGGTATAATAGTAAATATATTATAAACACTTAAACCTATAGACATATAGATATATTAGTTATATTATATTATAGACATATACATATATTTCTTCTATATTATGTCTATGCTTAAACCTAACAAACATTTTTTTTATTAAGATTTCCTCTTAAACAACAATAGCGATTAGAAAAATGGATTTCTGCAATTGGTCGTAAACAATTCACTGCAACTAAATACAGCAAAATTTGCAGTGATCATTTTTTACCAGATGATTTTAAAATAAATGTTGATGGAAGTTATCGTCTAGACTTAAAACAGAATGCTGTACCTTCAGTATTTACTTGCACTGAAGAACTTTTGACAAAACTTGCAAATTTATTAAATTTAAGTAAATCAGATTCTGTTGAAGTCAATGATACAATATCAGTACAAAGTACGTTTTGCACAGCCAACATTAGTCCAGTTACACCACAAAATGTAAGTTCATCACTACTTGTAACGCTCTCCAAAGGTAAAGTATTATTTTTTTCTCCTCCAAAAAAACGTAAACCTCAAAAAGAACCAATTACCCCTAAAAAGAAATTTCTTACAAACAAAATAAAAATATTACAACAAAAGCTCCGGCGGCAAAACATTAAAATAACTTTAGAAGATTTGATTAAAATCCTAAAAAAAAAAAATTATATTGATGTTAATGCTGAAGGTAATTTTATTCAATTATAATTATTGATAGTTTGATCTCATTTTTATGAATATCGGGTTTTTAGGTATTTTGTTGGATAAGTTTGATGATGGTATATCTAAACAACTATTTAAAAATGAATTGGTTAATCAAGGAAAAAAACCTACTGGTATGAGATATTCTAAGGAAATTAAAGAATTTGCACTTACTTTAAGCTATTATTCGCCTAAAGCTCTTACATATTGCAGGTATCTTATGCTTATGCTTGCAATTGCTACTTACTATACTATTGCTTTACTCAGAGCTTACGCTAAAGAATTTTTAGAACTGCCCAACATTTTTGTATTTTTGTGCATGCAGGATAATAAAAATATTTCTAGGTCTGGCGTTACTTCTTCTTAGAATAATTTATTTAATTTTCTATGTTATTGACAGATCAATCTTAAAACTACCAAGTCCTAAGTCTATCCGTAATAGGACATCCACAGTTAATGGAGAACCAGGTTTTTTTTTGAAGTTTTCAAAGCATTAAGTACATTGCAACCAGATGATAAACATTGTTGTCTAATGTTTGATGCAATGTCAATTAAAAAACAAGTATTGTGGGATGAAAAAACGGGAAAATTTATCGGAAATTGTGATGTAGGTAATGCATTAGAAATTGAAGGTACAAACACTCCAGCAACCGAAGTTCTAGTATTTATGCTGGTCAGTCTAAATGGAAAGTGGAAACTCCCTGTTGGATACATCCTACAAAATAAAGTAACTTCTGTAATCCAGGCTGAGCTCGTAAGGACTGCCTTAACACATTCTTATAATTCTGGATTAAAAGTTTGGGGAGTTACGTGCGATGGTGCCTATACTAATTTCTCCACTATGAAAATTCTAGGATGTACTATTGGTGATAATTATGATGATATTCAGTCCTGGTTTAATCATCCAGTTGACAATTCGAGGGTATATTATATTCCAGATGCATGTCATATGCTCAAACTTGCAAGAAATACATTAGGAAATTGCTTAAATATTGAGTCACAAAATGGTTTTATTAGATTGGAACACATAACAAATTTATATAAGGTACAAAAAGAATTGGAATTAAAGTTTGCCAATAAACTGAGTATGGCACATGTACATTGGACTAATAACAAGATGAAAGTTAAGTATGCTGCTCAAACATTAAGCTCTTCCACTGCGGATTCACTTGATTTTTTAAGTTATAATAATTTTCCTCAGTTTTCTAATGTTGCTGCAACATCAGAGTATTGTAGAGCCATAGACAGGATTTTTGATTTCTTAAATTCAAAAAGTAAGTTTTCTAAAGGGTTTAAATCACCAATATTTAAATCCAATATTCAAACTTCAGAATGCATTATTATTCCTTTGATTAGATATTTATATTCACTTAAATTTAAAGGTTTGCCATTATATACTTCAAATAAAAAAACTTTTATTATTGGCTTCTCAATTGCTGTTAAATCGATGTTCAGTATTGCAAAAGAATTATTTATTGTATCTCCGTTCACTTACATATTAACATATAAATTCTCGCAGGACCATATAGAATTATTATTTGGTCGAGTTCGCCAAAGATTCGGAGCCAATAATAATCTTAACGTTACACAATTTAAAACAGCAATCAAACAAATTTTGTTAAAAAATGCCATGAAATGTAAGAGTAATGGTAATTTTAATACATTCGATGATGATCCAGCAGGATCATTATTTGAATTTAAATGGGCAAAGAAAAATAATTTTGAAGACTTTCAAGAAAGAAATTCAGATGCAAATGAAGATAATATTATTCAAAATAAAGTAGATTTTTTAAACAATTTAAATTTAAATAATTTAATGTATGAATCAAAGAACAATATATTATATTATATAGCCGGATATATTGTTCGCAAAATCAAATTAAATTGTACATCATGTAAACATTCTCTTTTGATGCAAAAGTATGATCACGACTATGTTAGTAGTCCACTTAGTAAACTAGTGAATTTTAAAAAATAGAGGAGGTCTCATTTGTAGTTCTGACTGTGTGTTCAAAATTATATCTGAATGTGAATTAATGTTTGGGTTATACAAAGAAAATAAGCGTCTTTTTGAACAAAATTTAGATTTAAAAATTATTAACCATTGTATACGTTTGTTTAGTTTAGACAGCAACATATTTCCATCCTTAAGTTGTGAAAATGTATCCATTTTAGAACGTCCACATAAATTGGTATTGATAACGATTATTGCAAAAAAGTATCTAAAAATCCGTTTACATTCTTTCTCAAAAACTTATACCGAATCAATAAATGTTATTAGCAACCGCCACAAGCTAACAAAAACAATTTTATTCAGCAATAATTAATGTTGCTTAATAATAATATCTAGTAGATATTTAACAGTAAATATTAGAATAAAATAAATTAGATTTTCAAAAAATACTGTTTTCTTTTCTTTAATTTATTGGTAATGAGTAATGACTAATGAGGAATGTACATTGAATTGAATGCTGAATAATATAAATGATGGCAATTTATGGACTGATGAAAAAGTTGATCATTAATTTTACAAACTTAGATAAAAAGTAAAAAAAGTTGTTAATATTAGGTAAAAATTTGTATAATAATTGCACTTTAAATTTTAGTAATTAAGTAATTCAATTTTAAAATATTAAATAATTAATTTTTGTTCTTATCAAAT